ATAAAATCTGTACTATTGATTTTTACTATAATACCTCGCATATGTTTGATTAATTAGTATATGAAATACCCCATTGTTGCATGTAAAATTTTGTTCCCGACATTGTTAATTAGTGCACTAAGGTCGATTTAAACACTAGTTTTTTTGAGTATTTTCGCTTTTTTTCTTCCTTCGCACGTGTTCGGAATTCATGTCGGGCTGATCCGGAACAGAAATTTTGTGCACTCCAATTGGCCATTTCCTTTTTATGGGTTGTATTACTCGCGCAAATAAGTGCGTGCTGCCTGCACGGGCCGGACCGAAATTTGAACCTCTCAAAATTACGGGCCTGGTATGTCAAGAACATAATAAATTGCGGGCCGAACTTTTAAAAAAACAAAGTAAATTTGATTTTGCGGGCCGGCAAAAGTACAAAATTTAGATTGTACTTCTGATTCATTTTGAAATTTATGTGATATGAAAAAAGAAAGAAATTGTTGTAATTGTAAATTTTGAAAATGTAAAGTTGTGACAAATGCTTTATTTTTTCATTGAAAATGGTAATATTCAAAAATCAATTTTAAGTCGTGTAAACCGATCAAATATGCATTTTTAATTTTGCTTTTGTATGAGCCATCATTTTATAATCTTATGATTTTTAATTATTATAATCAATGTTACTGTCGAAAGAAAAATCATGAAAAATTAATTAGAAACGCGAGAAATACGCTCAGGTAGAGCCCTGCACGGGCCTAAAAATTTGGGTCCGTATTATTTCACTGACAATCACTTCACCGACAGCTTATTTAGCCGATATCACTCCAGGTGAAATTTAGTAAAAATATATACCTGTAACTTATCAATGCTTAACCATAACCCTATGTGATGTCAGCTAAATGAGCATTCGGTGAGGTGAATTGATCGGAACCCCCTCTCGCTCAGGTACATAAGCCATATGTAAAACATATCATCTCAATGCGATGTATCTCCCTATAAATATGTATGATGAACTTTTTTTCCATTAGAAGAGTGTAAAGTATTCCAAAAAATATATGTGTATAAATAACAATTTTATTAAGCAACAAATTTTTAATAATTTATTAATATAACAAGCATATCAACAAAATCTTTTTGTTTTTTTTTTTTGTTTTAATAAACACTTGAAATAATGCAATTCTTGAAATAATGACTATATAAGATCAGCAATTATTTATAAATTATATATAGCTTTAAGTTATAGAAGCCTGTGACTGTAAATTTTGAAAAGTCTTATCTAAACTACAAGTGTTATATATATTTGGCTATAACTCAAGCCGGTGAGGTATAAACCAAACCATGAGGTATATCGAAAGAAGATACGTATTAATATTAAATCGAAAAAGCTGATCGTTTTTAACTAAATTTACAAAAACTGTAAAATAAATATATAAAAAGAAAAAATATATAAAATAATATGCGAGAACCGAATTTGTAAATATAAATTTAGAATGACGCAGATGTCACTTCGGAACTCAAATTATTAGCAGATTTAGTGGTGGGATTTTTTTTAGCTGGTTTAACAAAACCGATTTGATCCTCATTTGAAAGTTCTTCCAGAGATTGATTCATTGTTTCAGGTATCAACAATGTTGTCCAAATACCAATAAACATAAAAACAGCAAAAATTAACAATAATCGGCTCACGAACGCGTTTGAACCTCCAATATCTTTTAAATTTATAAAACCAACTTGTGCAACGATTGCCCCTAATTTTCCAGATGCAGCAGAAATTCCGTGTCCCGTTGAACGATATCTTGTAGGAAAAACTTCACCAGGTATAATGAAAGTTGTTGCATTAGGGCCAAAATTTAGAAACAGCTAAATAAGATTGAAATATTAATTGAAATATTAATTGAAATGGCATTTGCATAAATAAAAATAGAATAAAATAAATAAAACATTCAATAAGATAATAGTATTAATTATATTACCTGACATAAAGTGAATATTACGATGAATAACGGTAAAGAAAGTTTCAAAATTTTATCATAAAAGAAACCCAAAATTGTAAATAATATAGTAAGAATTATAAAACCCATTAATTGGATTTTTACACGGCCCCATTTATCTACTAGAAAGACAGTAAACCAATATCCAGGAACAGTGCCTAACATAGTGATGATAATGTTGCCAACAGACATATTCCATAAAGAAGTATAAACATCGTGACCATCAGAAAAACCAATAGCCTGCAGAATTATTGAATTATTTAACCCTATGCCTATATAATTAAAAGATGAAATTGTTTATATAATATATAATGAGATAACAAGAATTTTGAGGTAAATTAATAAATTATTTACCGTAGAAAGCAACATCTAACACGAACCACGAGACAGAGGTACCTAATAAAACTTTGCCGTTTACCCATTTACCAAAGTATGCCAAAAAATCCTAAATATAAAATAAATTACAGATAATAATTAGTTGTTAATTTAAGAAGGATAAAATACATTAGATACAATACTAATGATAAGTTACGTTACCTTAACGGTAGCGCGAGGAACTTCAACAACATAATTAGGTCCAGTATTTTTGTCCTTTATAGTCTTGTTCGATAATACATTATCAATGTCATGAGAAGCTTTTTCGACATCTTTCATAACGTCCATAGTGTAACGTGGTGTTTCTGGGATTGTTAAACGGAAGTATAAGGCAGTGATTCCCGGGATGATACCAAAGCCTAATACTATTCGCCATACATGATCAATGTAATTGTGATCTTGAGCTATAAGGTCTTTGTAAAGAGCCAGAGTAACAACCGATACTACAGCCGCAGATAAAATGCCGAAACCTTGCATAGAGAAAACGGCAGCCATCATTGCTATTTTTTTGTTTTAAATATAATGGATAAGAATTTTTATAATTATTCATTATTGATTCATTTATTATTTGATTCATTTATTATTTCAATTCACTCAAAAGATTAACATACCTCCACGTCTCTTTTTAGTAGCAAATTCACTCGTAATAACTTTAAATGATAAAATAAATGTCAAAACTTGAAGTTAATTGAAAAAGAAAGAACAAAAAAAACACACATTACCGGCAGATAAAGGATAATCTCCACCAATTCCAATACCTAACATTAGTCTCCATAACATAAGTGAACCCCAAAGAGTAATGGCAAAAGAATTTGCACAGAGCGCAGAACCAAGTGTCGAAACAATCATTAAACTAAGTTCCAAACCATACATCTGTGAACAAATATAATAGCAATAATAATAATTAATAATTAACGAGAGTTCGTGAAACGTAAATGGATAATGAAAACGCGTTTACATTTCAGTTTTTTTTTTTTTTTTTGTTTTCATACGTACGTACCTTTTTGCGACCATAATGATCAGCACACCAACCAAAAAATAATTGACCTATGAGAGTCCCACAAGCAGCAGACATTTTTAACCCCATATCGATGAGCTTAGGAACAGAATTGTCTTCTGAGGAAAAGTAGACAAAACCCAACATGGCAGAAACCAAATTTATAACGAATAAATCATACGCGTCAGTAAAGAAACCAACACCAGATACTATACAAGCTCTGATGTGAAACCATTGGAAGTCAGCGTTATCAATTTCCGAGAGTTTTGTTCTACGTAAATTATCAAGATTATAAACGTCATCAGAATAGTCATCATCATAATAATATTCATCCTCGACATATTTTTTAGGAGAAGTAGGATGAACAGCAGCTTCGTTATTTGAATGCATTATTAAAAGAAAAGAACACTAGGATTAAAAGAATGACAGGTATTGTTTATTAATATGACTAATATTACGGGATTATTATATTAATGAAGGGGTAAAAAAAGAATATATAATAAAAAAAATTAGAAGCGAGACTCATGCTAAAGAAAAAAAAAAAAAAACGACGTTTTTTTATCTATTTGAAGGTTGTTCAAATAAGAAAATTTGAAATACATTGTTATTTACAAAAATTTAGTACTAATATTTAGAATTTGAAAGTTTCTATTATGAAATCTTATTTCATTAATTAGTAAATAATATTTCCAATTCAGTGATGAATTTTAAATCATCTAGTTATACAAAATTGTCTAATTGAAAATGTATTGCAGAATTTACGACAGAGTTACACAACACCTTTGGCGTACGTATCAACATCGGAATTAATTATCTCCAGATTTGCAAATCTGCAAACTATGTCATTTAAAAGCATGAATCACAACAATGTCTGTATATTTCTTAGAAATTTCCTATTGCTATGAAACTTAGGTACATATACGCACTTGAGCTTTCCATATTCAGAGGGTCTGTTTCCTAAATTCGAGAAGTGATTCGCGCATTTAAATCATGAAAATGATCAAGAAGAATAGACTAGATTATCACGAAGAGAATGCATATTGTTAGATGATCTAGTAGGATCTTAAAATTATCTGGACACTAAGCATAGAATACATAGAATAGAATATTGTGGACTAAACAATAAGAAGATGGTGAAACATAAAGCATTGAATGGGAAATTAAACGTATGAAGGAGCGTTAACGCTAAACGTGAGTTAGAACGGCAACGTGGTGTGGGATAATAAATGTTTGTTGGGACACTAAAGCGACACTAAACAACGAGTACTATACACCAAGATATTCGAGAAAAAATGGTATGAAACTAGTCAAAATAACAAAAATGGGCATTTTTTAATTCAAAGTTCACTGCACCAAGCATTTAACCAAAACTTTAACCATAATAATAATCAATTATTAATTAACGAACTAGCATTGGTTGTAGAATTTTAAATTTCCGAAAAAGTTGAATCAAGCTGCAGTAATGCGTTACATAGAACTTTGTGTGCCAGAGAAATAAATATGTTGTGTTTTTAAACGTTAATTAACAACAGAATCAACCATTAAACTAAAGACTCCGTGACATAAATTTAAATTATTAAAGTTATTAATTACTGTACGTATGTCGGTATTGAATATGCTTAAATTATACAAATATAGTATAGCTTAATGAAGTTTTCAGTAGCTAAAGCTTTATGTTAATATTGTCGAATTTACGAAATAATTGGTTTAACCATCACATTATTTTACAAATTTATAAAATAAACTATAGAATAAATTATTTTTAACGTTTGCAACATGAGAATGTACAAGTTTAATTACTGGTGAACTTAGAATGTCACACCGCTTAGACATCGCATGTACGTACGTACGTACTTAATTCAGTTTCCGAGATCTTTCGATTCTCCCAAGGATGCACATAATCATGTGCATTCATCAGTGGGATTGTTCGATTTAATGCACGTTTGGTGGTACCTTAGTCCGTCACCGACTAATCACTACGATCAGCTTCGATATTAAAGGTTGAAATATGTATGCGATTAACTTTGGTCAGTACCCTGTGATCTTAATATAGTGATCTTGATAGCGATCGGGGGATTAATAGTAACACCAATTGTTATATCGATATATATTTAATACATATATTTGATAGTAATATATATGCGGGTTCTTTGCTAGGAAAATCACTCTCGACATTTTGTTGGAGGGTGATTTTCTAGCAAAGATCTCATATGCTTGTTAAATGCTGATATGATATTTAGTTTAATATATATTCTCTATTAATGATTGATAAAATACAAAATGTTTTTTCTCCTAATTCATGGATTCTGCCTAATATATACGTATCATTAAATTTGATTATAATATAAAGTTGCTTAATTAGTTTTAGTTTTAATTGGTTAAATTGGTCTTGGTTTAAATTGGTTTAAAAATTGGTTTAAATTGGTTTAAATTGGTTTAAATTAGTTTAAATTAGTTAAAGAAGCTCAGAAACTTGCCAAGATGTATTTAAATGTACTTTACTCCGTCAGAAACATGATCGATTTTTACGGCATCTGACGATTCTGTCTGTATACGAGATCTGCCGTTTTATTTATTTTATTTATGTTTAGCATATAATACATTTAAATTACGTGTTTCACACCGTTATTCACTTGAAAATCAATTCAACTATTCAATTCGTATTGTTATAGTAACTTTGGAAGTTACACGATATAGTATTATTTTCATAGTACTAGGCCCAAAAAAGGAAATCTAAAATGAAAACGAACTAAATACCTGATAGAAATTTAAGGTTAGGCTGTTAGGTGGATGCAGAACTAAACTGTCACTCCCTGCATGTAAAATTTTGTTCTCGATCTTTAATTAGTGCTCCAAGGTCAGTTTAAACTATGAACTCGTTGGTTGACCATTCCTTTTAGGAGTTTGTGGTTGCCTACTTATTGTTATCGTTATATATTAAATATCGATATGATGAAAAAATCACCGTACCGGGTCTTTAAAGTAAATCACATAGTGGTTTATAGTATCTTATTTAGGGATGATATTTGTTAATTCGACTTTATTCATTCATCATTTTTTATAATAAATATACGTACACGTCGGTCTAAGCTGGATTTACGTACGTACAGTACGTACGTACTTATTTACCAATCATAATTTATTTATTATATTTGTCCGGTTTGCCTTGTTATTTTCCGAAAATCCTATGAATGCAAATGAAAGATTATAATGTCATCATATGAATCTATAAATAATTAGTATTTAATCA